CCCTATTTGGCCACCAACAAAAAAGTGGTTTGATCTTGAGATTTGTCATATGATTCATCACACACAAGGAGAAGGCAACCCAAGACTATCAATGAAATCAGATTTCAGCTTCCATTCACATTCTGTATATAGGGTCAGGGAATATAGAATAGAAAGACAAAGAATTAAAGTTCTTTTACACTGTGTAGCATGCTACACAGTATAAATTCAACATTTTAACATTTGAAATGAGCCTTCATACATATGAACATTTGGGAAAGCCTAAAATTAGGGCTACAGCTTCAAGATAGTGACCGACATTGTAGAATGTCGGCAGCAAGTCTCCTGAAGCTCTTTGGCTATTCAGCAAATGACCTTGCTGAACTAACAATAGACATTTCACAGGGATCTCATTTAAATCGTTGATCTTTTTTTTTTTTCATTCAGCTTTCTCAACTTTAAAATATGACGACAATTTTCATAGCTTGGACTAGGAAAAAATTCCCTCCAGAGTTCCCTGTTCATGAATAAGTAATTCAAAGGCAGGTTATGTATTGAAGATATGGTGTGAGCAATTTGATTCTGACAACATTGATTCTGTCAGACAAACCTTTATAAATGTGACAGCCACAAGGGAGTTCACATTGCAAGACATACAGAGTGCCTGCCCTGTGCCAGGACTTGGAACAGACTAGGAAAATATTCAAGTCTCTGACAAGTCAACCACTGGAGCAGGAAGGAAATATTAAATCCAGTCTCCTCTGATGAAATACAGTAGCTGATTTATTTTTTTGAGAACTTATATTATCACAAGTCATATTATAAACACAAGGAAAATAAATCACAGTTTCCATAGATAGAAAGCCACCATGGTTTTCCAAAAGAACACAAATAATGGCTCTTGTCTTGTGAAAAATCACAATATATTGAAAAACCATAGGGATTAAGTAAGAGTGACATAGAGTGACATAGGAACAGGAATGGGCAGGTTAATGGAATAAAAAGAGTCCATGAACAGGGGCCCAAGGGTAAATGAGAAATATATACATATATATTATATAATATGTACATATATAATATATATGATAAAGTAAGCATTTAAGGCAATGAAACAAAGATGAATTAATACATTATGTCTAGACAAGAGACTCATCACCTATACAAAGTAAATTATATTCCTGTCTCCCAACTTATGGGAAAATAAAATCTCAATGGATCAAAACTATGAAGGTTCATAAGTAAGAAACATCATAAGTGGCTCAAGAGACGGTCTTTCCAAGGACGACATTACAGTCAGAAATCACAAAATGAATCATTGCTAGATGTGATTTCATGGAAGATGTAAGCTTAAAATAATCCACACACAAATATCAAAAAGGAAGTAAGGTACTACAATGTCAACATTTACCTGCACACAGCTTCATTTTACCTCCAGGTTACTGAGTCCTGTGAGCGAAGGTTACATATCCTAATTAACAAAGCACATTGGGCTGGGGGGTGGGGAGTCTCCTATGTGTGTTCTACCTGGATGGGGAGTATCAAGTTGATTTTTTCTTTGATTTTTTTGTACTTGTAAATTCATTTTTTAAAAAAATGGTCATATATTCCTTGCTTTTATAACCAGTAAAAATAGTACAGCTATCAACATTTCTTGCTGGTTTTAGTATCTTTTAGAGAATTTTACACCACAAATGTCAGACACTAAATACAGGTAAAGTAATCTGAATTAAATTTGGCCAGAATTTCAAAGTATCATAAGATTTCCTAAACACTGGGGTGTAGTAGCTAATATTTTACCATTCATACTTCAGTCCTCATTGTATTATGGAATTTTCTCATAGCCCATAAACAAGGTAAAGATATCCTGTGAAGCTACCATATACTCTAAAATATTGCAATGAACAAGAATATCAAGCAAACATACAAATGCCAAAATGATTGTCTTACATTTTATTTATTTGCTTTGACAAGTCCAATGAGTCTGTCTAAATAATTAATATCTTATTGCTATGACTAAGTGATAGAATTGTGAAAGAATGATATAAACCCATATGTGAGAGTATCTTAAAAATAGATTGTGAGAATTTTATAAATAATATGAAAACTACATATATATATATATATATACATGTGAAGCTAAATCTAATACTTTTCCATAATCCCTAATAATGAGAATTTTCTACATAGAGAGCAGCTGGGATTTTATACATGAATAAAATAAATATTAATTATTGATCTATTTCCCAGTATCTTCTACCTCAAGAACTTAACAATAATTGCTGTGACACATATCCACATATAGTCTAAATTTTCTGAGGTTCATGAAAATAAACCAAAAGTAAGACTGGTGACAATATCTGGCATATCTTCAAATAAATAAATTATTTCAAAGCTGACATTCGATTAAAAAAGAACAGCATCCCAGGAAGAGTACAGGCATTGGCACCAGACAACCCTGAGGTTTAGTGCTGGATAGCACATTCATGTATGTGAGTAAACCATTTGACCTCAGGTCCTGGAGACTATAAGACTGATCTTGCAGTTACCATTGAGAGTGTGTATTTAAAGTACGAGGTAACATGTTGGGTATTCCAAAAATGGAGACTACTGTTGAGAATGGACAAGAGGATGGCCAGGCTGTGATGCAGCCAATAGAAGATTAATTGACTATCCAAGAAGCTCACGGAGAGGAAATACAACCACTTTCATCCAGGGGCAAGGCCACCAAACCGGGAACTGAAGGAACCCAGAAGAGACTCCTATTCAACCTCAGTCAGCAGCGGGCTGATGTAACTACCCCTTTCTGGTAATGGAAGTGGCCCTATCCCTCCATCAGACACCCATTTCCTTCGATGAGAAGGACTCACTTATTTCAGGGAAGATGTCCTAAATGAAAACCTAGAGCAATGAGGGCCGTTTCACTTGGGACTCATCTGGTCTTTCCATCCACCCTGCCTCTCCAGTGCTCAGAAACTCAGTCACTTCCTCCTGGAGCTGGAGGGGTCCTTCTGGGTACTACCAGACACACATTGCCAACTTTGGAAACTCTGAGCTTTCCTTTTCCACCAGTCAAGGCTAATAACCCACCCTCTTTCTGCCCATATATACAGAAAGATACAATGCACTAGTCTCCCTTAAACGACACTCTCCCCAGTTCTCTCACCCACCACCAGTTATAGCAAGATTACCTTGATCAAAGTGCTGGCTGTACCCTTAGTTAGCCAGTTTCACCAGCCAAGTGAGAATTTTACTAGCAAAATCAGAAACAATGATTTCCTTGCTTCCAAGTCCTTGAAGGAAATTCTGTGCTTCCTCAATGTGAAACTGACTGGGTAGATGGATGAATGACTGGCTGGTTGGAAAGATAGATGGATCAATGGAGGCATAGGTGAAACATGGATAGATGAGATAGAAACAGAATATTGTACTGCTGTGATAGACATCAGCAGTGATTTGCCAGCTAGAATGATGACCAACGGAACAAAAGAAACTTGACTGACATAGCTTCGCTGCTTCACTTTGGATTCAACTAACATAAAAGTCGAGAACTACACTGAGCTTAGAGAGCAGGCAGGTTGTCTAAAAGGAGCCTATCTTATTCATCCTGTCCTGTTATTCAAAAATCTCGCCCTTCTCCAAGAATTTACTTTTGTCTCATAACCAGGGTGAACTGGCTGTGCTCTGAGGCAAAGACCCAGCTCTGTCCAGACGGACCTTGAATAATCTGTTCAGTTCTGTTCTGCATTTTTGAGTCCCCAGTTCTGCAAGAAGAGGATACTAATTTTAGCTCTCAATCCTCCCTCAGGATCTTATAAGGAAAGAGCAACAGCATGTGAGAAACTGTGTGAGCGCCTACAGAGGAAGGGCTGCGAATGGATTTTACACGATGAACAAGATAAACGGGCAGCATTCTCAGTGTTGTGTTGCTTTTCTTCCTTTTGGACATATTTATTATTTGAACATATTTCTCTGGCAAAACTGACAACGTGCTAAGTAGATATAGGTCACGCTGCTCTTTGAAGTCATTAACTAGCTTGCCCATGAGTCTTGCTTTGGGTATTTATTTAGCACAGCCCTGTTTTTAGGAAATAGAAAATGTAACCCTAAAGGCACCTTTAAAAAATAATCCTCTTTGAGGATCACTGTAAGAATCAGTGCCACCTTCCCAACTAGCCCCCTAGAATTATCACAGCATCCGGATGGGGTGGCAGGTCTTTTCTGAAAAGCCCAGAGAAGCAGTCAAAGGCAAGTGGCAACTCCCGGCTGGCCCTTGGAACGTGTTCCCATTCTTCTATGAACAGCCAGAAAGCACTACTCTGCAGCCAGTGGGGTCCTGCTGACGGTAACAGAGCTTTCTCTTGGGCTGGCATCGATGATCATGTTTAAATATACTTATGCTTTAAATAACAACAAATACCTCTTCTCCATCTCTCTAGCACAGTACAGTGACCACCCAACCATGTCAAATCATGTACAAGTCATCTCTGACCAACTGCTGGCACTCACTGACTACTTTCAGGATTGTTCAAGCAGAAATAAGAAAAACGAATAATCTGAAGCATACTGTGTAGCTCTTTATCAGCTCACACTGTCGTATCTCTCCCTTTCTCTCTATCAAAGCAAATACTAAAATTTGTAATTTTCAGAAAAGCACATTACACTTAAATGTACCTTTCAGAGTCTCTAAGCCCAGAAGCGACAGCTAAGGTACCTCACCCGCCATGTAGAGCATTCTCAGCCAATTTCTGCATCTCACTGCCATGTTTAACATGCACACAGCACCCTCCACCCTGACCGTGCGCAGGCTGTCATCTCATGCTTGCAGAAATTGAAATGCTGCAACAATGTCTTGAATTTGAGAAATTCACAGGAAAAGCCTGGTGATGGTTCCCTGACTGAAGGCACAGGCTGCTGGAGGCAGCAGCAGCAGCGTCTTCGCGGCAGAGCAGGCTCTGCCCAGCTCTCCAGGGTGTGATCTGCATGTCTAATCATGGAACAGGTCCGAGGGGTCAGCCGCTTACCTTGGAATGCTGCAGCAGAAGTATCTGCTCGTCAAGCTGCTGTCGTTTGCCTTCTATTTCAGTCTGTCTCTTTCTCTTTTCCTTGAAAATAAAAAGAGAGAATGTATTAGAGGGGGGTGGGTACTGGCTGCAGGAATTTTAAGGCAGGGAGTGGCAGCAGCATACATCTATAGGGACACTTTTGCCAGAGACGCTGGACACACGTGCAACATCACCTGCCTCACCAGCTCTGGGTGTGTTGTAAGCAGCAGTCTTGTCTAAATATGCCTGCAGTGGGCTCAATGAGTGGGAGAGATCCTCCTCACTCAGCCAGGCTGCAGCAATTGCATCCAGAAGAAAAGACAGTTCCCACACACACACACACACACACAAGAAAGAGAGAGAGCGAGAGAGCGAGAGCAGAAGTATCATGTGCTGTGCAGTGTTAATAGGGAGACAAAGAATAAAACTCTCAATCTCAGAGACACAGGTTGTTACAAACTGAAAACATGCTAGAGTAGAATGGTGGGACATTCTAGGGATCTGTTTATCCAAATAGTCCATTTTAAATTTTAAATCATCCAGTTGGACATGCCAAACCACACAAGTTAGAAAGGGATCTTTGGACGAGCAGTCCATGGGGTGGGTGGGGCTCGCAGAGGTTATGAGAAATAGGAAGTCTGGGATCTGTTTGCCTGTGTGCAACTCACAGCTCAACCCACTGCTACCTTTGTGACCTCTGAAAAATTCTTTGATGCTCCTGGGTCTCTGTCTTCTCCCACATACCTATGTGGTTGGAATGTGAATGAAATGAGATGCTACTGATAAAGAGCGCAGAAAAACCTATGCCAACAGGAAGTATTCAGTCATGTTACTCGCTATGGTTCTTACTGCTATGCATTTATGGTTAGGTAATGCCTGGGTGTGAGTCCTCTTGATACAGACCCTAGGAGCCAGTAGGCAACGGCTCAGGTATTTGAGGCCCACTGGGAAGAGCTCTCCTACGCAGCATCTCAAAGTGACAAAGCTCAGAACTAGACACTTTATCTCTAAGTCCTAGGATTTGCTAAGTGTAGGTTTACTGGGTGTTTGTGATTCATTCCTATTCACTGTCAAGACATGCAGTCATCAACATTTAATTCCAGAACAAAGATGCAGCAGCAGCAGGTCACAGACACAAGATGCTGCTGTAAGTTCTAATTATGTATCTTGTCATTTCCCAGGCTTCCCTGTCTCTGTCTTTATGATTACAGAAAGTTCTCATTTGAGAATGCTTCAACACCCTATTGGTAAATCCTTCCCATGACAGAATATTCCCAAGTGGTATAGGCAATGGTGCCCTACAGGCTTGAGCAGCAGTCTCTTAGATGATCACTGTGAGCTGACATGGTCAGGAGGGATGGAGGTTCTGAGTTAGGACCTCTAACAACGGGTAGGATGGAGGTCATTATAGAGCAGTGGGCATCACATTCTAGGCACTGGAAACTGTGAGCAAAGATAGGAGTCAACTGCATGTTCCAGGGACAATGAGGAGATGTTTTCATTTCATTGAAGTGAAGTACTTGACTTTAACAGTAGACCAGTGACTTGAACAATTGTCTAGGATGAGGTCATTGAAGGCCTTGAAATGCTAGGCAAAAGAAAAAGGTTAGATCCCATTGTATGAGCAATGCAGTGTGATTTCAGGTTCTAAGCAAGAGAAACTCTGTTGCATTGCATTTTTGGGATACTGACTTGGCACTGGTATACAGGATGGATGGACAGGTGTTGGGACCCTCTTTTCTGTCAACAGTTTAAGCGTTACTGAGGCTAACATCACTGTATGGTGGGGTAAAGCAATCACCTACAACACAAGCATTTAACATGGGCACCAGTTTGTGTCCTAGCTGTTCTGCTTCTGATCCAACAGCCTAGTAATGGCCTGGAAAAGCAGTAAAAGACGGTCCAAGTTAGTTTGGAAAACCTGCACCCAAACAGGAGATCCACAGGAAACTCCTGGAAACTGGCTGTGGCCCAGTTCAATCCCTGACATTACAGTCACTGAGGAATAAACCAGTAAACACAAGACTGACCTCTCTATGTATAATTCTGACTTCCAAGCAAATAAAAATAAATAAATAAATCTATCGCTAACAAAATTTAAGCATTACTAAAACTAGATTTTGTATAACACAAACTCTCTGTTCCAACCACTTAAGGCTGCTTTTTTTTTTTTTTTTTTTTTTTTGCTAAAAAAGCATTCTGGCACACTACATAAATTAATGGCCATTGCTATGTTCTAATAAAGCTTTATTTGCAAGGATTGGCACTGTGGTTTAGCAAATGAAGCTACCACCAGCAATGTGCTTATCCATTATGGGAGTCAGTTTGATTCCTAGCTGCTCCACTTCCAATCCAGCTCGTTTGGGAAAGCAGCTGAGGGCCATAATGCTTGGGCCCCTGGATTCATGTGGCAGACTTGGATGAAACTCTGATCTTGCCTATTCTTAGCCATTGAGGCCATTTGGAGAGTGAACCAGCAAATGGAAAAGCGCTCTCTCTCTCTTTCATCTTTCCCTATGTAACTCTGCCTTTCAAACAAAAGCATATTTTGTATACAAACACAGGTGGTGGGTCAGAATTGGCTCATGGTCATCATTTGTTGATCTTCGGATTAAAAGTTCATCACGTGTCTCAGCAAGATGCTACATTCACTCTGGCATGTGGTGAAGATGGGTGAGCAACTTAGTGCTGTATAAATCAGAAGGAAAGAAAGAAGAATGTAAGACTCAGAATTAATGAGCCTAAAGAGTAGGATCATGTTGAGGGTCAGTGTGGTGTTCTGGCTTTGGGTGACATAGACTAGAAATGCACTGGGCAGTGAGGGAGGGCAGTAAGGTAGAGTCTGTTTTGTTGTCTGCATTTATGCCCTGAGGAAAATTCTTATTGAGTTCCAGTTTGAAATCAAACAGTTGTTAACATTCACAGGCAGGTAGAGGCATCTGTAATCTGACTGATGAATATCATGGCATTTACCCCACCAAAGACCCTTTATGCTTAGATATGCACTGGAGAATTGTTTGACTAGTTGATGTCCCTTCCATGGTGACAGTCCTGAAGTCACTGTTACTGAATCAGAGGCAAGACATGCAATCAGACTCTGTTCAGAATTACCTACAGTTCAAATGGCCACACAGGTGAGTAAAACACCACTAAGAAACTCACCTTCAGCTCCTGATGCTCACTTGGACTGCTGAGGTCCAAACTCTGCTCCTTGCCTGGCTAACCAGCAGGTCTCCCAATGTTCCTTCCCATAACTAAAATAAAATGAGTAATTCTCAAGCCCTTCACTCCCATACTCTCCAACCTGCCCTCTCCTTTGAGCTTCAGGTACCCAGATTGAATTTCCAACTCTTTAGATGCTCCTTTAAACTCCACACATGCAATCTCCATCCCAGTTCTCCATCCTTCAGCTTCTACCCTCATCTCTGTTTCTTCTGTACTCTGTCCCAGACAATGACACCATTCCAACTGGAATCTGAGTCATCCTTGATATTAACTTTCTTGAAGACCAAAATCTGCTGATTCTTGTACCCATTTTGCCCATCTTTTGTGTACCCACCTTCTATCTTCCCAGCTGCACATGCAGATAACATTATTCTACATTAGCACCCATAGAATTCCCAAGAGTTTAGCTGCTTACACCACGTCTCTGTCTGGCTTATTGTATTTGCTTCCTTGCTGACCTCCATGCCTCCAAGACTTGTCTTCCCAACTCATCCTCCACATTGCTGCCACAGTAATATTCTAAAATAAAAACTACATGGCCTCCATCCCTTGCCTAAAACAAGAATGTTGTCCCTGTGCCTACTGTTTGTCAGGTCAGTTCTTTATCCTGACCAATATCACAGATCCACCATGGCTGCTAACCACATGTTCTCACTTCAAAAATAGTTGCAGTTTGCTAATTTACCAGCTTGATTCACATCTTCATGTTTCTGATTCTACCATTCCCATTAACATCCCAGACTGTTTCATTAGACAAGCATTAACTCATCTCTGAGAGTGCAGGGCTTAAATATCAATGGAGCTATAGTGACCACTGTTGATTTTGATCTGTGCAGTCCTTCTTCCTTTGGGGAACCTATCTACCCTGGCTGTAAATGGCACTTGTGGAAATGTCAGTCACATCCAGTTGCATGCACCCTCATTCATCCCTGCCAAAGGAACTTGCCAGAGATTGGTCAGTTAACCATACTACCTTATCTCATTGCAATTGTGAATAATCCACAAGGCAGCCAACAGTCCCAAGTAGAACCAATATGAGGCATTCCTAGAGATGTATATATAAATACTGGGAGAAAAAAAATCTCTTGCTCCCACTAGGGATAAACTAAGACGAATTATGTCTGAGTGGTAAGTTTTTTCCAAGCCTCATGGAAGAAATGATCTATGCTGGAGAAAATGAGGTCAACATACAACAGAAGCAGAGCTGGAAGACAGATTATGACGGAAGCTAAGACATTGTTTGCGTCCCAGATCTGGTAATGCATGGAGCCAAACTGTCTCTGGACTTCCTGAATTACACACACTAATAAATTTTCTATTTGCACAAGCTATCTTGTGTGATACTTTCATCAATTACAATTCACTGAGTAGTGGACAAATACAGAAGCTTTTCCATTCCATCCAAAAAGATCTCATTACTTCCTTCTTCCTTCCCCTCTTTGCAGGCTGTGGACTTTCTTACATTGAGCACTTAAATATTTTATACACGCAATGGTTTATACTTCTTATCCCTAATCCAAACAACAGGTTCCTTGAGGACAAGGATCTGAACTAACATACCTCTACAGTCTAGAGCATTGCATGACAAACACACTTGGCAGATGCTTAGAGAGCATCTCTGAATGAATCAGCTGTCCATTTTGTTTTGTACTTAAAATGTTCCTGTCCACATCCCTCATTCAAAAACACTGAATTTGCACTCAACAGTTTAAATGGCAGCAAAATATATTACTGAAAACACATTAGCCATCATTCATGAAACCAGAAGTGTCCTAAGAACCAGCCCATATGGAATAGATCCTCATTTGCAATGCATAGGAGTAAAGAGTTGGAAA